AGTGAAAAGTGAGAGTAATTGTAAACAACAGATCTGATGTAAACTGCAAAGCTGGCATACAATCTAGCCAGCCTGCATCACAGAAGTGCCTGTACCTCTGTTAGCAATATTGATGTAACCCACAGTATATATTACTTCATTTTTTCAACACTGTGGCATGCACTGACTTAACTATAGGGAGTGTATATATTTCACAGGATGTTACAGATACTGACTAATTGAAGTAACGTAATCAAGCTCACAAAAGCATTCTGACAAGATGCAAATAGAAGCAGTGTCCTGCCACCCAGGCCCACATTTTGACCTTGTAACAGGCTCCTTTTCCATAGCCACTGCCTCTCCGGTGGTGAACTTACACAGACTCCTATCTGTTGCTGTAATGTTAATGACACATGTTAAATAGTATCACATATATGTGCACTGGACTGTACTTATTGCAAGTCTATGCTAGGGGAAGGCTCCTTGCTTTTAACATACAATTTATGCCGGACAACTTGCTGCTTCAAGAGAGTTTGCTGGATTCAGATCATTAGCCTCCACCTCTTGGTGAATCAGAATCTCTCTGTTTCTCTCTCACACCTGTTTATTTCTTAGTTTGTTAAAAGATAAGTTTTTCAAATTGGATTTAACGCTCACAGTGCCAGCCTCACACTGATGAAACCGAATCATTTATAACAAAGTCATGGCTGGAACGTCCCCCCCCCCCCCCCCAAAAACAAACATATGGGCTTACCTATGGGCTGCACAATCCAGACCGAATCCAGTCTATGATTATGGTGTTACCTGGATTCGATAAAATAAAACACCATCAGGTGAAATGTAAGAAGGCAACACAACAGAACTTGCCTCTTCCTATTCAACATAAACTCCAAGAGCCTTAAGGTGAAAGGTGACAAATGACACTGAAAATCATTTAAAGAAATGCCTTGTCCCAGTAACACGATGGTGACTGTGGAAACAAACCTTTATACGGAACAGCGTCTCTAAGGGAGATGGATAATAAAGGAAATAAGCCAGTTATATCTGAATAAACATGCGCATGTTTTTCTCTCCATTTCTTGTGGACAGCGGCATAGCAATGGATATAATCAGTGAATTGCAATCAGGTGTTTGTCTACTTGAACAATAAAGGGTGTTCTGGAAATAGAGCTCTTCTGTCTGTTATTGCAGAGGTAGGACAAATACCATGCATTCCTATTTGCAACCTTTACCCGTTTTCGTAGTCCATTTAACTTAATAAAAAAATAAAATGACTATGGAATTGATATTAACGTCCTCTTCATTTTGTCTCCTACATGGTAACTGGAGATACCGGGAGCAGGATGTAAGTTTGAAAAGCCTTGTGAATCTAACGCTGTTTCACTACCTTATCCTGGCTGGATGTCCATCCCTGTGAGCAGCCTAAACAAAAACAAAACTACCAGGCCTCCAGTCAAATGCGGCTGCTTTTCCAGAAGGCTTTATAAGCACAACTGTGCACAAATATAGGCTTTACTGGATCCGGCATGATTTAACCAAACACAAGTTACTGTGCTCTGCGCAGGGGAAATGGTCAAAGCATCAGGAAGACGGCAGACCGCTTTGGGCTAAAACTGCTCAACCCTCACTGTGGGCAGGAGGTTGGGGCGAGGGCAGGCGACACGGTGGTCTCCCCTTTGCGTCACTGCTGAGCTGACGGCGAGCTGCGAACGCTAAGGCCTAGATCGCTGCTGTTAAAATCCCAGTGAGGGATATTAAACATATCATATTAAACCTTTCGCGGGTTTAAGATGTCGCCAGCCCAGCTATGCGCCCTGGCTCCTCAGGAGCGGGCACGGCCTCTGCAGCAGGAGCAGCAGGCCAGGCGGCCCGAGGTGAAGCCGGATGTGGTGGCGCAGGCAGTTTTTCAGCAGGTCGCCTAGCACGCTGGAGCGCGCCGTGGGGCGGCTGAGGGGCACGTGGGCTCCCGCTCTCTTTTGCCCTCGGCGACGGCCCGCGCGCCCGCCCCACCCGCCCTGAGACGCAGGTGCGACCGCCCGGCCAGGTG